AGAGAATTGGGGAAACTCTCAAATAACACAGTTTCGATCTAACACAGTTGACAGGTTCCCTGTAGTGATGAGCGATATAATATCGATATTTCGAATGTCGATATTTCTCAATTGAAATATCGATATTTTGTATTGATATTTAATGCGACAATGTATTCCAGCATCGATACTTAACTCATAAATATCGAAATTTCGATACGAATGGGGTGGCGGGGACTCCGGCCAACGGGAAGCCCTAACCTCGACTGGGTCCATTCGGAACACCGGTCAATTTTATTTTCGTCGAAAGCTTAGCGGAAGGAGATTACTCTTATTTCGGTGGAAGTCTGCTCGGGGAAAATTGGGGGCACGCAACGCCAATGATATTCAGCCACGTGTAGTCTTTCCGGGACGCTGATTTGTCCACGATTTCCGCGAATAAAATTGGAAAACTGGGAGAAACGGAATGTCACGCTCGGCTTAGTTAGAGGGTTTTGCATAAAAATTCCCGATTACCGGTTATTAAAATGGTTTTGGAACTATGCTCGCGGGCAGCACGAATGAAAAAACTCGGCGTATCGATGAACGGGAGAATAGAAGAGCGCTTCCCGCCACACGAAACTCATACGTTCGATCCAACGATGCCCGATATATGTAAATATCGACATATCCGTTCATGAATATTGATATTTTAGGCAACGATACATCGGTGTATCGATACTCCGCGGTTCGATATTGCCCTTCAATACGAATATATAGACCTCAAAAATATTCTAAGGTATGTATGTTTAATTACGTGTTTTTTAAAACCAATAAAAATTAAAAGTGGTGTATACAAAAATATAATGCGTCAACGAGTGTTCTGCTTGATTTTATGTAATTGAAAAAAGGAATAATTTTCTTGCTAATTTGTTTTTGTTTATTTGTTTATTTGATACTTTCTGTCCGATATATTGTATGCATCGATACTAAAAAAAAAATATTGATTTTTGCGTATGATGCATTGATACAAAGTATCGGGAATCGCCAGTTCGAATTCAATTCCGTTACACACTCCAACGTAGCGTTTATTAAACCCGATAAAGTACCTTGTAACTTTTCGCGACGTCCTTAATAGTACAGACGAGATAAAAGAATAGACCTAACATGCAATGTAATTTTGTGTCCCATGCTTCGGAGGCGTCAGAAGCCCCTGTACCATACTAGTATTCCGTTCCTTGCTAGCGAAACCGAAGCAATAATGTATGTATGTATTGCTATATGGAATGATGGGTGTGTGTGTGCTGCCTGTTATCATGGTGTCGAAAGTAGTTCCTGAAATCGGCAACTTTTATGGAGATATGGGCTCGAACCAACGTGATTTTCGTAGGACACCAAGTCCCATAAGATGTTAGGTCCATTCTTGTATCTCGTCTGTGTTAATAGTCAAGCAGGATTCGCTGCTTGTAAGCTCCCTCCGCCTTTTTCGAAAAACAACGCGAATCCTCCGTGTTCTTAACCAAGCCGAATCCGACTGATTCTTTCCAGAACGGAAAGGGGGATTTAAACCCGGTCACGCTGGGCGAAATGTTCCAGTACACATCGTTCACGACCTCTAATATACTAAACGATTAATCCCCGGTGGAAAATAAACACGTGCCTCCCGCTCCCCAGACATTCTCCAGGGGCGAAACCGCCACATGACTCTGTTCAGGCCCCCGATTACGATGCGTCACGACATCTAACAGGAAATATCGTGCAACGATAACAGCGATATTCAGAAAGATTATACATTCTAGTTTGTCGAGAGGCTATCACGATAATAAATTCTGATGGATCGTCAAACGCAACCCCATCGCCCCGTCGTGGAGAACACCCAGGAGCCGTAATTGGTCCAGACGTATTTGCTCCCTTTCGCCCTGGTTCGAGAGGAATATTCGGCGAATGAAAGAGCTCGACGTAGCTTACAGGGCGATGAGAAAACGGTAGAGATTCGAGTGTATACAGGGTGTCCCAAAGAGGGAGGACAACCCGCAATATACGTATTCTTCATGCAAATACAAATCGAAAAGTGCTTTACCGTTTTCTAATCTGAAGCTCCACTTCCGAGATATTAGCTGTTAAACGAACTCCAATCAGCTGAGCGGTTGACCACGCGTACGCGCACGACCCAGCTAACTGGCCTATACTTCTTGACTGTATCTACTCGTACGTGTGGCCGACCGCTCAGCTGATTGGAGTTCGTTTAACAGCTAATATCTCGGAAGTGGAGCTTCAGATTAGAAAACGGTAAAAGACTTTTCGATTTGTATTTGCACGAGGAATACACATGTTCCGGATTCTCCCATCTTTTTGGGACACCGTGTGTATCGTGTCGCGACAAATGCACGACACACACGGTGTTTCGTCGAAAGCAGCCCCCTCCCGCGAACGAAATTAATTTCTCAACACGACATCGTTCGCGTTTAGGTAATTTACACTTCGGAAAGGCAACGATCCTGGCGGAATGCCTTGGAATGCCGGCTGGGAATCCGAGGTGAAACCAGCAATTTTGGGCCGCGGGGAAATTAGGTCGAACCGAAAAGGCTACAGGCTTCTACCACGGAACCATCGCATTATTACCTGTCTGCGGTCATTGTACCGATGTCTATAGTTTCCACAGAGTAGACGAAAATTCTCTTTTTTTGTTAAGCTCCGCTGGATTGTAAGGGACCCCGATAGAAGCATCAGGCAAGTTTTAATTTTTGCTGATATTCGGTTCTTCATGATGGAACTACCTCTTAAATGTTAGTGTGTGCATTCCTATTTTCCTGTATATCATAAAACCCATAGTAGATGTCGAAAAACTGTTACAACGGAAATTTAATGACTTCACATGCTCTATAAGACTGTGCAATCAAATTTTTAAAAATTTGTTTTTTAAATTAGTAAATACATAAACAAACACATTTTTTAACAATTTAATTAGACAATTTTATAGAGCGTAAGCAGCCATTACGATTTTTTTCTAACAGTTTTTTTTGTATCTATTATAGTTTTCAAGACATACAGGAAGATAGGAAAACACACATTAACCCTTTAAGCGGGTTCGACGTACACGTCGATATAAAGTCATTGCTTGTGATGTATTCATTTGTAATATATTAAAATGTTACATATATCAAGTAGATTAGTACATTAATAGTGAAATATGTTAAGTCACTACGAAACAATGAATTCATCTAAATTAATTACCGTCCGTGTCGTTTCTTCAATAGATAATTACCCGCTTCAGGGAGTACGGAGTAGTTCCACCCTGAAGAACCGAGTACGTATGAACAAGAAATTGCCCGATGCTTCTATCAAGGTCTCCAACAAACAAAATCGGAATTTTCGAGGGTATCGAAGATCCTTTACAGATGCCCAAGATATTCGTGAACGAAACGAAAAATGAGTCAAGAACGATTAGGAGTCCATTTTTTTTAAATTTCAAACGGTCGGGCGGATGAATGGAAATCGTAGATCCTAAGAACATAGATCTCCGCCAACAAACAAGGAATCTTTGCAACGGTTAAATTGTTCGAACGAAAACAGGCGGGTATTGTTCTTTCGTGCGTTAAAGGCCCATTGAGTCGTCTCTGCTCGAAAGAGCCGCCGCGCAAACAAAAGCTAAGAGCTTCGAATTTTCAAACGAAATCGAACACGACCGCCGTCCTCCGCGTAACAAGCGCGAAATACGTCATTATGCTATGAACAACGACACCGACAGACGGAATTTCTATTCCAGCTTTTCTCAGGGGATCAAACGGGATCAAAAGGTCGGTTATTCGAAATCACTTTTGGTCCCATTTCAATGCACCCTGTCTGTCGACGTAGCGATTGCAAAACAGAACCGAGTAATTCCGACGGGCACGATAAAAAGTACGGGGTTAAAAAATCAACCGCAATAAATGCCAGTACGTGAACGAATGCCTCGAGCCATGCGATACCAGAACTGTTTGCACACCATCCCGAAACGATCGTGCGAAAAAAAAGCTTCCGATAGCATTGCGAAAGTATTCAATGAACAGCTGCACGGTATAGGCGAAACTGACGCGTATTTCATTAGCTTGTGTCCGAACGACGAAACACGGATAAGCGGAAAAAATTGAAATTCGAGGGTCCCCGCGGCCTTTCCTCCCCTGCTGATAAGGAAACAGAGAATTCTACCCCTGTATTGTAACGGTCGTTCGAGGAAAAAGGCCTGAAGGATCGCCTCCAGTTTCTCGGGCCAGTGCTCCGAAAAGCTCGTCTCGTGCAAAGGCAAGGGCATTAACTTTGATCTTTTGTACAACGGGCAATAAAGGAAGGAACACGTTGCCCTTTTAATAGCATTCAAGCATTATCTTCTTACGCTGGAATTTACGAACGGGATTTCACGAGCAACGGCGTCCAATTAACGACGGACCTTAATTCGTTTTCTGGGAGTTCCGATCAGCCATTGAACAGACACCAGGAGATTCGTTTATATTAATTCATGGCCGAGAGGCGAACATGCAGGAGGTGTAATCCTCGCCTGCAGGTCAAGGGACCGAGGCAACTGGCTTTAAGCTTCGTCGGTTACGTTCAAAGTTTTGGGGGTTTCCAAACAGCCGTGTTATCGACTCAGAACCGTTACGACCGCAAATTTCCCTCGTCTGTTTATCGATCAACCGACGACGTTGAACGTCCAAACTAATCCCTCGATCGAGAGCACGCCTTTCGCATGTATCGACACTGGCAACAGAGTAACAACGTACACTTCCTGAACGCTTTTTTTTTTGCCCCATCTGCGTCGAGCCCAGCCAACGGCGCGAAAATTGAATGCAGGATGTTTTTTTTTTTTTAACCACGAAGGTAAACTGTTCCCGGTATTTAGTGGTCGTCATCGGATAAAGATAGAGAACACGTGAAACTGAAAGATCTGGAGCGTTAAGAAGCAAGAATAAAGAGGACAGATGTTGATCCTTTGCACGGTTACGCGCGGCGGAACAGAGGATCTCAAGGTCGAGAGTTACGCGGTAAAATCTTTAAAAAAAACTTACCACATATCTTGCAAGAGAGCAGTATCGGTGGAGCGATTGTGTTGCGTATATCACGTGAGCCGGGCGTATCCGCTTGTCATATCCGTGTTAACGCGCTCGCGGCCGTGATCCCTCACTGCCAGGATATCCTCCGTTCGAATCCTTTCTTCCTCCTGTCTCTTCCTGCACCCGTCGTCGCTTCCTTCCTTCGCTTCTAAATCTCCCCCGACACTTTCCCCGCCGTCTCTTGTTTTCTTCCTCTTCCGTGAACCAACGATACACCAGATACAACGCACTCTTTCTCTCTAGACACCCTTTCTTCGTCCACGCGTTTTCTATCCTTACACCTTCCCGCTATCCTTTCGACTCTTTTTCTTTTCCCCGTTTCGGTCGTCTCCCAAGCACGCTACTCCTCCGTCGAAAGCTTTCCCAGTTCGTTTCCTCTTGTCTCTGTCTTCACGCTTTCGTATCTCAGCACACCGCTACCACAAGCATCATCATCACCACACCAGTAGCAAGCAGCACCAGACCCACTAGCAGAGGGAGCACACACCACTACGATCGCGCAACGACGCGACACACGCACACACACGCACAAACGTACACATATCTAACGGAGCTCGAGCATCGCTACCACCGCCGCTCTACGATTCCCACCACTCCTTCTTCTCTCGCCTTCTGTTTTAAACTTATAAATAGATATCTGGGTGCGTTCGATTATATTTATATGTACGCGGTAATACGTACGTGTGTGTATATGTAATGTACGCGCGTGTACGTCGTTTCTACACCCTCGCGACTTCCACGAATGCGAAATCGTGCGAAACCGGTGCTCTCGTCCGCGAGCTGCCCGTATTATTGATGGTACGACGTCCAGTTACAACCGTAACGGCTCTTTATTTTTCTTCTCCTTTTTCCCGTCCTATCCCTCCCTTCCTATCACCTCCGTGTGCTTCCACGATCGGACCCTTCGATTTGCCGAACGGTCAGCGCAATCCCTGGGTAGACACCAATACCGTTACGCGTAAGATCGCGCCAATCGGTTCCGCCGATCCCTCGACCGAACCTCACCGCCTTCTCACTCACTCTCTCTCTCTCTCTCTCTCTCCGCCTCTCTCTCTCTTTCTCTCTCTCTCTCTGGCGGTCTTCTAAGTTCCGTGCACACGAGGGCTGGTTTAGAACTACGCGCAAAAGAGGCGTAGTCTACATCGGCGGTAAATCAATCGCTACCTTACCTTTTCGTTGCATGCATCTCTTCTCTCGCGCTCCAATCGCACGCCCAACACCACACGCACTCTCTCTGTGATTCTTTACTGTATTTCAAACATTCCCTAATCAGTTCCCGAACGACAGGTTCGGAACCGTCTCCTATGCGATACTATTTCCTTGCCGTCTTTCCTGCTTCGCCCATTCGGTGTGTCTCTCGTCTCCTATCTTCCTACGTGATTTCCAACTTTCACACTCGAATGAAATAAACGTTCCCCTATGCACAAAATGTTAATGCCCCGGCTGTCTCAGTCTGTCATACGCTCTCCGGTATATACCATACACGTACACTTGCTTCTCGCCGCGATCCTTCGACGACCGGAAGGTCTATCGTTTTGATCGCTCAAAGTATATAGTGAAAAATATCACCGAGATCGCTTCCGGTTCGATACCCCGAACGAAATGGGACTCGAGTTCTGTTCGCACAATTTTTTTTTTGTAAATTTCCTCGTAGAGAAACAGCAACGGATGACAATGGTGAAGACGACGGTAACAGCGACGGCACACGACACGTTCGACTCAACGATATGCCGCCGGCTCGACGCCAGCGACGCCTGGCGTCGCGACGCCCCACCCCCTCCCTATGTATAAGGCTGCGTGTACGGTGTCGTACGCGCGGACGCGGAATCGTCGCCCCTTGGAGAAACGGATAAAAAGAAATATGTTACGTTCGCGTGGCTTAAACGTCCTCCCTCTTTCATTGAACAATTTTTTCGGTTCGATCAGCTGTTACGCGTTCGGATACTTATACTCGGGTAATATTTTGCCAGAAGGAAATCACAGACGATCGAATAAAATGTTATTGTTGTTCCGACGAGAAGGAATCACCTAGCTCTTTTTCATGGAGATGTGATGAATCTTCGGGGAACGATTGCCAAAACATTCGTGACAAGCGATCGTTTTTATTACGTACGTTTGGGATTAGAGCGTTTTTAACCCACGGAATATTTCATCTAAATATAAGAATTCGAAAACAAGAATGGTAGGAAAAAGAATGACAAGGAACGAGTACCGGAAATCACAGTATGAAAACGTCCTTTGGCGGTGGTTATACAGGTGAATGTATCCTTGTTTACGCGCTTTGTAGGTGTTATAATGAATCATTTACCTTGTGATTGCGTGTTATGTCCATGTAGCTACATATATACGATTGATTAAAACGGTTGTTTGTCTTTTAAAGGCGAACGGTAATATCGAAATACTTCTTGGAAAATGCGAATGAAAAACAGGAAGTAAAGTATTATAACGGAGTAAAAAGTGTCGGATCGAATGTGACGTCATGATATAATATTACGTTCAAAAGTGTACGTAAACATTCATGAAACGTATTACAGAATGAAAATATCAGCCTACGTGAAGACTTGTGTATGCAGGTTAAAGGGATAATGTGGTAATTCACGAATCACTGAGACACGTGGCGCCATCGTGCGTACACATTATCACTTACTTTTTCCGTTAAAAGAGCGATAAAACAGTGCAAAAAGAAGTCCCTTTCAGTTTGTATGTAAAGAGAAACATTGATTCTCGGGTTGTTATAAATTTTACACGTATCATTTTACAGCAGTGATTTTTGTGCGACAACTTTTGTACTATTTTTATGTAGATACCAACAAGCGTGCTCTATAATTAACAACGCGTCAGTCTACCCGTAGAACCTTATTCTATTCTTAAACTGTTCCACCGAAGAAAAGATAAGCCGGGGTTGCCGAGGGCCTGTGTTTTATTTATACAACATTCTCTGTCTGACTATATTTATATATGTACCGAGAAAGCAACGACTTTAAACAGTGCACAAATAAGTAAAAACATTACGCGTTCCCGAATTTTGGAGCAACAATAGGATCGATATAAATGTAATTTTCTTTAGGGTAGTCCATTGAAAATATTTAACTGAATGATAAAAACAAACTGTATATTTAAAGCAATTGAGAATGTGCCTTTCTCCTACAGGGGTTCTCATGTTACATTTCTGTGAGAATATCAAATGATGTTAATTCCATATATTTGTCACTTTTAATTGTGTTAATAATCTCACGGTACTTCGTAATTACAAAATAGTAACAATATCCTGTTAAAATGTAAATTCATAATTTTGACTACTTCATTTCGAAAATACAAATGTTAACATAACCTAAATCAACTACTATAGAAAGACCAAAAAAGAATACTCTTAATAGCTGGAATATATGCGTTGTAACACGATCTCAGTAGAGAAAATTAGTGATACGCTATTCTCAACCGATAAAGACACCAATCTCACAGTCAAAGGAACAAAGGTACTCGTGCATTGTTCGTATTCACCAGTGTTCAAGGACTTTTCGGATAACGCTATCTATGCAACCGAAAATATATTTGTAAAAATAAATAAAAAATTAAAAAACCGAATAAACACGAAAACGTGTACATTTTTCATCATTCTGGAAAATATATTAAAGTTAGTAATGAAACGATCACCGGAAGCGAACTGGAATTTCCGGCGTTGTCCGTTGAATCTATCGTTGCGATTGGAGACGTGAATCGCGTTTGAACAGAAAGAACGAATAGCGTGGTGTTAATAGAAGCTTAGAGGGAATCGGAAACTGTTGCTGACTCTCTTTCTTTCGGTCGTAAGCCGGCACCGGTTCACCATAAGAACCGACTGTGACGCGTGCCAACTGCTCCGAAATTATTCTGGTGCGCAGTACGCCGTTGCTTTCACTGATCTTGTCGGTTCGACTAGTCCACTTTGTCTTTTCTGACGTGGTTTTAACGCGGTAAGTTCTGAACAACACACGATGGCGGCGGTCGACTGTTACCAGAATCAAGCCCAGGCCGAGGGTACCGGCCAACAGTCACAAACTCAACAGCAGCAGTCCCAACAGCAACAGCATCATTCTCAACAGCAGCAACAGTCGCAATCTCAGCAGCAACAAGCCACCGCTGGAATTCCAGGCAAGGATGACGAACGCAAACTTTTCGTTGGTGGCCTATCGCGTAATACCACAGACAAGGAACTCCGAGACCATTTTGGCAAATTTGGAGAGATCGAAAGTATCTCCGTTAAAATTGACCCATATACCGGTATCTCGCGAGGTTTCGCATTTATGGTATTTACCAACCCCAAAACGATCGACAAGCTTTTGGCTTCTGGTGAACATTACATCAATAAACGAAAGGTACGTAAATATTTTACACAAACGCGAAAATTTAATATTTTAATTTACCAGCTTCTGGAGAATTTTCATATTCTGTTGTACACAATATTGATTTGAATGAAGAACTTTTTTGCTCTAACACAGGTCGATCCCAAACGGGTGAGTAAGAAGCCCCAATATGGAAAAATTTTTGTCGGTGGTCTTACACCTGAAATTACGGATGATGATATCAAGTCGTATTTCGGGCAGTATGGTACAATTATTGAATTACAAGCTCCGTTCGATAAGGTAAAAAACCAAAGGAAGGGATTTTGCTTCATAACATTTGACTCCAAGGAAGTTGTGTATAAGTTACTCAAAACACCAAAACAAACAATCAATGGCAAGGAAGTGGATGTCAAGAAAGTGAAAGTTAATCCAGACACAAGAAATCAAGGATTCTGGGGGCCTGGATATGGTTATGGTTATGGTGGTGGTTATGGCTACATTCCTGAATATTGTAATGGATATCAGGGAGGGTACGATGATATGTATGCAAATTTTGATTATGAGAGTTATGATGAGTATGGTAACATGGGATATGGGGCCCAAGGTAAGCCACGGGGAAATGGTCAGGGACCGCGTCAATTTCAAAGACATCAGCCCTATTAAGAAAATGAAGGGTATATGAATCCCACATACTCGAAACTTGGTGATAAAGCAAGAATATAGCAAGGAGTAGACCAATGTTATTTAGATACAGTCTGAGACTGAGATTAGGAAATTTGGGATAAAATAGCATGTGGGGTCTTTGCAAGATCCATATTTGAGCCCCAAATACCCTAATCTTTGTATGTATGTATGTACATTCAAATGTACATTTTCTAAAGGAGGAACAAATTTTTCATTGATCTGTAGTCAGTGTAATTTGTTAAGTCAAAAGGGATCGCATCATCTTTTGTCTAAACACATTTTGTCATTTATTACATGGAACGATTACTAACAAGACTATGAAAGAGAATGATCAAATATTTTTTACACAAGTTGAATTTCTCCTATAAAAAAAAAATACTTTACTCTGCGTATATAAAGCAAAGCATGAGGAAACAGTGACAAATACCAATTTATTACACAAATATTTTTGGATCCATGTGACAGTAAAAATTGAAGTAATTGATTTACTCCTGGTTTCTTGTTATTCATGATTCATAATACTAACATGTATATCTTATAATTTAATACTCTAATTATTCTTTAGAATCTTAAGTTGCATTACTAAAGTATTGTTTACTATATGCTTGGTGTTAATCTTATTATTGAAAACACATTGCTGTGTTGTTTACAGTAGAACTTTATGTCGGTAAACAGTTTCAGTTCAGAAAGCACTTGTCAAGTTAGAAATAATCGATAGATATAAAAGGAATTACCATTCATGGACCAATGGTTCGTACTCCTAATTAAACGTACTTCTTCCTCATAAATTTATGACATAAACGTATTATCTAATATCATCTAATTGTTTATATTCTAAAATAAGTCTTGTAACTTATATGAATCATAAGGTATCATGAGAGACGTACGGATTTTCGTATGTAATATGTATACGCGTATACACATGCATAATGATGTATACACGTATGAATTAGTATATAGTAACGTAGCAGTTAAGAGAAAGATAAAAATATTTCAAAATAAATATAATTAAAATATGAACGTCCTGGGTAGATACGCGAAGAGTACGCGAGTGGTAGAGGATGGTTACAAAATATTTTAAAACAACATCAGAAGAGCAATAAGTACATATATTATAGTTAGCATGAAGTTTCTTTGATAATTTTATTATTACATATTTTTAGTATCTTTTTCCGTTTTCGATATTTTAATTACAGTAACAAAAACTTGAAAAATTTGATCGAAAAAGATTGATGCTTGGAGAATGTTGTTGCACTCGTGTACTCCTATGTTATACAGAAGACATACGAATATGGCAAAAATAATTGTGTCTTGTTATGTGAACAAAAACGATTCGTAAACACTGAATCAACAGAATGTTTAAGGCGTTGAAACACAATGTAAAGTGAAACTATTATAATTTAGGCTACTATGACATTTCTCTCGCATTTGATTTGAACAGCAGTTCCTGTCCAGTGTACAAAGACTGCTCTTCGTATCGCAAGAAGACTGTTATGTAGAGTATCATTTGACATGATACTTACCTAGAGAATTTGACAGCTAATAGAACTTGTGATTTCCTCGACTAAAAGAAATAAAAATGACAACATAATTATAATAAATGTAGATATGGCATTACGAAACTACGTTTAGGTACATCGAAATTATATTGTCCACAAGGCTGATAGGGCTTTAAACATTCACGTTTTTCTCAGATGTTACAAAAGTATCGACAGTTTGGCTTAAATACAATAAAATACATATACAAGGGATAATAGACTGTTCTCTAATAAAAGATTTTAAGCCAAGCTAATTGTGCTTTTGAAATTAAATCTGTATACTGTGTATACCATATTTGCTGCGTGTGAAAAGAAAAAAATATATATATATATACGTATACACATATATGTATATATATATATGTAAAAAGAGAACAGAGTGTGAAATTAAAGGAAATAACACAAATATTTTGTTACTATTGATTACTATTCGCCTGTTTCACCCATGACACAGTGTATATTTTAATTATAACAAAAAATAAAATATTCATTATTCGAAACATACTTTGTAACATCCTTGCTCTAATAAGAAATTAAATACTTTAAAATTTAAATTAATCAAGATTTATTGTGTTTCAAACATGAATATTTCAGTATCAACGTTTTCTTTCTATTTTCCTGCATGTATTTATATTGAGTTCTATTATAAAAATTACGTAAATGTTAGTAATTATGCATGTATGAATTTCGAAGAAACATGTGCTTGCGCGTACAACAGGTTTCGTAGAGAATAAATTCAGAGCAGCTCAACTCTTAGATCATGAACAATTTAAATAAATTTATCGATGACGATTTATATTCTAACTTGTTTAATCGTTCAACGCAGTCGGTAATTTATTTACGCTTAAAAATATTATGACATGTATGTTAAATTTACAAAATATATTGAATTTATTCGTATATCAGCATCCAAAATAGTTGTCTATCCCACTCAGACTATTCAAAAGTCTCTAAGCTGAAATTCCGTGATCAGTTTACAATACGATTCATGTATACATCAACGGTCAAAGTACAATAGAATTTCAGTAGCTGCTTGGTTTATCTTGTAATCTAGAAACTCAGCGCTATCCCTTCTATCTGTAGAGTCTGCTTTATTTACAAAAGGAGAAAGTAAGAAAGAAGATTCAATCATACGACATACAAGCCCTGTACTTGTGCACGACGTGCTGCACAGCCTGTGTAGCATTACCATCGCGTAATATTACATCTCAAACATATTCTCCATTATGTACGATAGCAATTTTGCTTCTATTTTTTCTGGCGAGCGTCTAGTGTCAAAACTTTAAATGCCGTAATATTCAATCATTTATAATGCATTTTAAAATATAAAAAAGTGCACAAATTGTAGTTAAATATTTTGTCCAATGATGTTGAACTGTTTGGTAAATTTCTCTGAATCTGTATGATGTACTAATTAACAACTTTCGATTGCGGCGTTTCTGTTTCTTCTTTTAGCGTGTATTTAGCGATGAAAATGGTCAGAAATATATGTAACGCCCTCTATAACAGAACATCTAAACTACTTGCCGTTGAATACCATATTGCATCAGTAGATGGCACAACTAAATCTTTCAAGCACTCATCAAATCTCTCATTTTATTAAAAACTTAAACATTCATTAAAATAACGTAACAAGCAGGATTTGTCATCAAGTAATATCAGTATGGGAGTTAGTAATGAATGATTTGTCATCAATACCATTGTCAGAAGATTAGAGTGTGTTATGAATAACTATTTTGATCGCTAAGCCTCGTGCATTCGTGCCGAAGTTATTTACATGAATTCATCGAGTATTTCAAAATGAGTACAATAGGTATTACAGGAAAAGTATTAAGATGATAATTTATATAATTGGTGAAATATAATAATACAGTCATGAGAACTAATAAGAAACGGTTTCAAGATATTAATAGGAGTAAAGAGAAGATGGATTAAAAACGCGGCCAAAAGCTTCGTAATGGCAGTTGCATGCGTTGCATGGGTGTGTAAACGAGAACGGACGTGCGGTCAGACGGACATACAGCTGCAGTGTCATCATCTTGGTGTGCGTCGTATTGTACGAAATTGAGGCTGCAGTTGCGGAAGTTCGAAAAGGAGCGAGCTGCTACTATGTCTCAACGAAAATTGATAATAGTTACGTCGCGATCGATGTCGTCTGTCTGGCCAAGTGAATTCGCGATGTAGCCTCTTTCATAGTCGATTTCATCGCGTTCGCGTTTATTCATCATCGATGCACCGAGAAGTGTCGGGAGCATTTCGTGCAACATTCTCCAAATTCGAGTCGCATGAAATCTCCTGTTGTTGTTCTCGTAACAACGATCGTCTGCCGTTGTGTCATCCTTTGCCGTTGTGCAGCACGACGTTTTCATTCTCGTTTAGTATCTTCGTTGTCATCGTTATCAAGTGCCTTCTCTCTCCCTCTCTCTCGCACTCTTGACTCACTACTTTCCGATCTGAATCGCGCGAAACTCAGCGTACGCAACCAGTGACGTACTAATACAATTTGTCAATCCAAATTCCGGTAAGTTTAAATATACATCCTTCTCATAGTTACACGAACTGGTACGCTGTGTTCGTTTCTCATGCAAAGAATATTTCCACGAGAATCGAGACGCTCGCCTGTGTCTCGCGTATTTGTTTGTTTGTTGATCGCTGATTCGTCGCGACTCGCGACTCGCTTCATGCTACTGTACCGTAAGATTTTTCCTCCGTTCGCTACTTTTCCGGGATAAACAGTACGCTGATATAATGCCGTGTGAACATTCGATCGATTCCTGTGAGAAAAATTATCAAGCTTAACTGTACAGATTCATTGAACGGGATGATGATAATTGACGCGCACGCGATAAATGGTCATACATTCAATGCAACGTAATTGTCGTTACTTGTACCATTTTATTGATGCAAATTTATAAACAAGACTTTTTCTTGTCAGAGGTTGTTATGCATTCAGCGGAAAATCTCTGAACTCTCGATGAAATGTATATACTTGTGTAGGTAGTAGTGGAATTATTCAGCAGTTCATTTTATTTTTCTATTTTTGTTTGTTTTTATTTAATCACTTGCTTTCGATATTGAATATATGGAATCTTTACTTGATAGTATGGGTGAACAATCTAGTTTTTACATAAAATTCGTTTAAATAAATGGAAATTCATTGTAAGAAGAGTATCTGTCTGCCTCAAGTGTGTATTTATTTCATAATATAGTAGTATATATGGATGAATTTCAAATATGTGTTGTGGTTTTGTTGTATGCTATTTATCGATGAAGAGGCACATACTAAGTACTATTGGTTAATTAAAAATATTACTAACTATAGTGTCAAGCAATATTGAAGTGATTAAAATATAAACCTACATGACTAAGGCTATTTGTTTGCAGACTTATTTTCATAATTTTTTAAACACTTGTATAATATGAATAACATCACCTAATGTTAAAACACTTTGTGTGTTGAATAGTTGACATTTGTTTTCATATATAATATTATTGGAAATAAAATCATTTTTATACATTGTAAAGGTATAGTTGTAAAATTTAATGAATTTGTTTAATACGTATTAATCTTTAAAAATATTAATATTTATAGTTTTATAATATCATTGAAATTACAATAATTTGCAGATATGAGGCGGATGATTCATTCCAGAATGCACTGCATTTAATAAACATCTTTAATATAAAAAAATTTTATTGTCAACAACAGCAAAGCGTGATTTGGTACACAGAATAAAAGGAAAAGATGTCCCAATTAAGTATTAGTACAGGAAAGAGAGGGAGGAGTGTTGCAAGCTCCTCTGCATCTACTGTATCATCTCTAAGTAGTTCAACTGACTTAGCAAGCCTGTTTGAATGTCCAGTTTGCTTTGATTATGTTCTTCCACCGATTCTACAATGTCAGAGTGGACACCTTGTTTGTAGCACATGCAGACCAAAGCTTAACTGTTGTCCTACCTGTAGAGGTCCATTAGGTATGTAGTTGATAATATAGTCAAATTTATTAAATATAGTGCACATATAAATTCTAAATATTCATTCTTTATTTATGTATATATATATATATATTTAATATAGGTAATATCCGCAACCTGGCCATGGAAAAAGTGGCGGGCAATGTAATGTTTCCTTGCAAATATTCAACAAGTGGATGCACAGTCTCTTTAGTGCATACGGAAAAGGCAGATCATGAAGATGCATGTGAATTCCGTCCATACAGTTGTCCTTGTCCAGGTGCTTCTTGTAAATGGCAAGGATCTCTTGAACAAGTAATGCCACATCTTCTCATGAGTCACAAAAGTATTACGACTCTTCAAGGTATTTCCATAATATGTACAATGTATTTTGTATCCTTATTAATTAAATTAAAAAAATCAATTGAATTTTTTCTCTTACAGGAGAGGATATTGTTTTTTTAGCAACCGATATCAATCTTCCCGGTGCAGTGGACTGGGTAATGATGCAGTCCTGTTTTGGTCACCATTTTATGCTAGTGCTTGAAAAACAAGAAAAGTATGATGGACATCAACAATTTTTTGCAATTGTTCAACTAATTGGCTCGCGGAAGCAGGCAGAAAATTTTGCTTACCGGTAAATATTTGTATACGATGACAGAATATTTATATAACGATTTAATGTAACGTTTACTATTGAACAGACTAGAATTAAATGGACATAAAAGACGCCTGACATGGGAAGCTATGCCACGTTCTATTCACGAAGGAGTTTCGTCTGCAATTTTAAATTCAGACTGCCTCGTGTTCGACACGTCTATTGCGCAATTATTTGCCGATAATGGAAATCTAGGAATAAATGTTACAATTTCCATGGCATGAGGAAAGCTGGAAAAAGCGGTGTAAAATCTTTTAAATGTCTCGAGCAGTCTCTGGATTGTAACTTCATCTACGTACTGAGGATTGCCCGTTATGTACATATAGCATTTTTTACGTTACCACAGATAAATATTAGCAATACGGATGTTAGGAAACGTTTGGAATGTGTTGATGAAGCACAGCAATCAAACGCTCAGTTACAGGACCTCTCTTTAGAAGCTTTAAAGTGTACTTGTATGTGATATTAACACTACAATACGAATACAATAAACAACTTTTCTGTATATTTATGCTGACTTTAAAGCTTTTACACTGGGTAAAGCATCGACTCCAAAAAGTACCTGACACCGATTGCATACTGACGTCACGTTCTTTTAGTCACTTCTTACAGAACCAGTTTTTACAGAAATAATCTTTTTAAATTTGAAGCTTTTTATGAAAGGCGTATTCTTCATAAAAGTAACAGTATATTTTATAAAAACGAATAGTTTTTATCGAGAGATCTGTCTTGATCTGTTTACATACAATATGGCAATGCAAAGAAACTTAAAGCACATGAACGAAGAAGTCTCTATATACGTAATTTTTTTTACTGTATAGTAATTAAATTGAACGCATTAAGTACACATCTGTCATTATTTATTCTCATTTAGGAACTTCATACGCTTGCATATTTATTATCATCGCTTAATTTCTTTTTGTAATTATAATTTTGAAGTGAATTCTTTTGTGTAATAAATTCACTTGCTTTATCACTTTTGTGACAAATGAGATTTGTTTCATGCCACGTTACATTGTAATTGAGTTTCCCATACTCAATAGTATAGAAAATTGTATATTTTGTACCTTCTGTATATCGCTACTAAAAATTATACTATTTTTCAAAAGTTTCAATGTAGGGCTAACATTTCGAACTAAATATAAAAAAAGCATATCAGATCAAAAGCTAGTAATAAGTTTGCATATACGATGACAAGGATTTGTAATAATTGAAATATGCTTGAACTTGTTGAACGAAGAAATTACGATTACACTACCAAAAGTTATTTTTGTTTTCTACGTGACATGAATTGATCCATTACTCACAGCGAGCACTACGGTAATCGATAGCAATTTTTTACAAACTTTTGATTTTATACAGATAAAATGCTAAAATATTTGTAACAGGAATACATACGGGAACACGAAAGTAGTTGGTATACGATAAGCAGGTGCAAAATAATGAAAATCAAGTTGTGTAGTTTTATTATTATTTTTTTTTTAGTAACTCTGAAATAGGCGAATGTAATGTAAAGAAAAATAACAATTGCAAGAATATAAACTGATTAAATTGTTACATAATAGTTTTATAAATAATCAGTGACGATGTACATAGGTTTTAAGTTATCGTTTTTATAACATCTTTAAAATCGTCTTTTAAAGAATGTACGTAAAAAATTATGGTTTAGTTAGATTTATCTTTAGTGAGTGATTTAGCAAATGTGCGTAATAGATCAAAGACGTAAGAAATTGCAAACGTGTAAATTAAACTTTACTTTGCTGCAGCGTGGTGGTTGCAGGTAGTAGAACGAGCTGGTCGAGAGAGAAGCGTTTGAGTAGAGTTGAAACTATATGAGCTTGACCCAGATCAAATTTGAAATTCTAAAAGACTTAAACAAAATATGGAAGAGAATGATCGTGCAAAGATTTTCACGAAATTCGATTTTACCACGAGTGTGATGTTACGTAATAGACAAGTGTCCTGTGATCGAAAATTTGTCTCCAAATTGTGATTCTTATGTCATCGTGAATCCTCTATAGAATATTGGAACATTCCAGGCATCGACGAAAAGTTACTGTAAATAGAGCAAACTTTATATGTGATAAAGCTATTAATTAATAATGTAAATTAACAACGCCGTGACATGCATATATGTATGAAATTCAAAGGAATATGGGAACCAATTGCATGTTATGCATATGTATAAGTATATATAAATATATAAGCGTATATGATACATAAATATATAGAAATGTATTTATATATATGTATATATATGTGTATAAGGCTCATACGATATTTATGTTTACATAAATGTACTAACCGAAACATTTACGTTCAATAGATTTAAAGTTTAAGCAGTTTTGGCGGTTACCGAAAAAAAAGAACATTTGAATCTAATTTTTACGTTAATAGTTAACCGAACGGACTATAAGTATGTGAATATCTTCCCGTCTTATGCTTACAATGCACCAATGAAACAACAAAATTCGCACAGTTAGACATTACTAAGTGTATCTGTTGAAGGGCAACTACAGGTTGGTCATATGGAGTAGGAAAAACACAGGTCCGGTGACATGTTACTGACAGACAAAATACGCGATCTTGTTGAACTATCATCGACGAACTTATCGAGAATTGAGATGCGAATTTCATTGCAAAGATACTATATCGTTCAGATTTATGTACATATAATTTAATAAGATATAAATCTAGGTATAACCACGATGTAACGTTTAATCATTTATTATAGTAATTTATTCTTACAAATCAAGAATAACGGTACGCAAATATTTTTAATCGATGCGATTATTAAAAGCGCTTCATTTAATCCTTTACTGCATATTTTAAACAAAGATTTTACAAATAACAGTGAAATGAAACTTTCAAAAGTCTAATCTTTAGAGATATATTAAGTTTTACTTCTCGATAAAAATTTAGTAATACTTGTTACTATATGGAATGAACTATGTGAATTTCAAACGGAAAGTAAGTTTGCGGTAAGGGTTTAATAATAGAAACATATTTCACAGCACGACTTCTAATTCGGTTAACAACTTGATAGATTTTGGAGAAAGTACGAACATTTTGTGTAACTCTTGATTCACTTTCTGTCTATTTACATAATTTTAGTTCGATAATACGTTATCAATTACGTGTAAAATTATGAACGATTATAATTTGTATTTCGATAACAACCGTACTAGCATAACATCATGAATCCTGTTCCTAAACAACAAATAAATTTGTTACTAAAACATTTTCCAGAACAATTAGTAAAAAATCATTTCTAAGTTTAGTATTAAATTCAATAATTGTTGCGGCACGTACAGATTCGAGAAGTTCAAAAATGGTAATACAATGCACAGGCAGAGCCACCTAGAGGTTAATAACGAGTTGTATAGAATCAAATACCTTGAGCCCGCTAGAGTCTTCTCTATATTCGACTTACATCGTGCTTGCGCGAATTCTACTTGTTGCTCCGAAGCACGAGCGTGGTCGGTATTTTTCCAGGAAGATTTTCAGAAGTTTAAAGAAATTCCCGAACGCGTAGAAAATGGCCAATTATCATAAGCCAGAATCAAAGACCATCCAGGAGTTGAAAGATATTGCAACGAAGTTGAGAATTCATTCGATTGATGCCACGCAAGCCAGCAAATCCGGGTATGTGCATTAATGTTATACTTTCTAACATTGATGTAATTAATCGGTCATATATTGAATATGTTCTTCATAAATCGATTCTAAGTAGCACAAACCATGTTTCCATTCTACACATCGATTGATTGTTTGTATTTAAAAATTGAATTTTTTGATAATCGCGCGCAAAAAGTACTTCGATGAAAGCGACATTGAAAGCTGAAAGGATGTTTCGATTTTCTTCTTGGTTGCGATTATTTTGTCGTAAGTGCAGTGTTAGTTGGTTACATTACTGGCAGTCGATCTTTCTAGTGGCGTGGCAACGATCAGTTTCAGATAGCTCTCTCTTGCGATTCGTCGGTGTGCTCTCAGTGTCACGCCACTTTGTTAACATTTTGTTGCATCACGATACGCGGTTCAAGGTAGTCTTATAACTGCATTTCATGTTTATGCATTTATCGGAGACCGGCTTAACTTTAATATGTTCTCTGAAATATATTTATATATTGATTTTTTTGTCAATTTCTCATTAAATAAAGAAGAAAACTTGTACAACCAATTAAATCGTTAGAATTTTGTGGCGCGGAAAATTATAGTTGAGTATATCAAAACCAAAAACCGTTCGCTAACTACTTATTTTAGAAATTAAATTTTAAATAAATTCGGGTCGTGCAATTGCGGATATATATATTTATATGCATCACACATTAGTGTATCTTTGTGTACAGTATTTATCACGGAATGTACTTTTTGCGGTTACAAATATCGATTGAACAGTGAATTGTATGCTCTTGCCTGATTAACACTTCGGTATCACACGTTGAAAGTTTGTAGTGTTCTTGTATTTTTTATGCGTGTGCTTTACACGTAACTACGGCGGCGTCTCCAACACGTGTACGATGGGGGAATGATGCAGCTAGAAATCGTTACGTAACATCCGTATGACAAAGTCGTATAATTGAGTATATCGCGTGTTAAAATTATTATTGGAAATACCATCCAACCTTCTTAGCTTTTTTTAAGCAATAAACCGATATCGGACGATTGATTTTTCACAGAAGGGAAAATTTTTAAGAAAAAGGCTATTCCTCACATGGTTTTTTCCTTTCAGCTTCTAGATAACTGAGTTCGATAATGTTTTACGAAACTGTTGTAACAGATAAATCGGTTAGAAGTTCTATAGAAGAGAAAGTTAACGAACAAGTATTTTCTAGTGAATTTAAAATCAGCACGTTCTGAATATTCCGTCTATTTTTAAATTCAATTTTCTAAAAACCGAATTGTCACGGAAGGAGTACACTCCTCTCGGAATGTATACATGATGGAAACGACACACATCATATGGTCGTAAAGTAGACCCTTGATAAATTCTTACTGTAAATTTTAGTTAGCAATGTTGGAATTTCTTTTTGAAAAATTATCGAACCTCAACTGAATCGAGATATGTTGTTCCTACGCCCATGACTAAGGCTGTTCATGTTTTTTGTCAGTTACTTTAATACAACACTTGAAACATAAGTATCACAACTGATTTTACGACTATCACAGTACATCTCTTCGATCAAGATAAATACATATTTTAGCTTATTTTTGCTTTTTGAACGTTGTACAAGCTTCCATTGGATCCTAACCCCCCTCCCAACGCGAAGGTAGCGTCGATTTTGAAAACTCCAGTACTTAACCAGTCCGGAAGAAAGTTGGGTTGGGAGGTAGTGACGCGCAGTTGCCTTGCCTAAAGCCTCTGTCCCCTCAGTTGTTATCGAACGCTCGACCAGTGACGATTTCGAGGAAGGTTTCTTTCGTTAACGATGGTATTCGATACGAACATGGAAAAACTCCAAGATCTTGCGAACAAACTTCGCATTCACTGCATTCAAGCTACCGAGGCATCGAAAAGCGGGTACGATGGATTGAAATATTTTTTTGTAAAATAATTCGATTTTGTAACGTTGAATGTAAATTTTTTCTTTATAATATTTTTCAACTTAGAAACTATTTTATTACCGGTCAACTTTAGGTCTGCTCTTGTAGCGGTATTAATAACTCGAGTTCTTTTGGCACGTTTAAAATTTCTTTTCAAAATATATTGTCATTTCTCAATAAGACATGTAGCCGTGTCTAAATTTTAATAGAAAATTTTGCTTTATTGTAACTGAAAATATCGTCATATTGCAATAGTCATTAAATTTTTAGGAGACTAGCATTGAATTACGTATCGAAACGCCGCCGCGTCAATGTCTTACCCATTGTAATACTTCTGCAGGACAAGAAAATCAATGACCGGCGAACAATAAATTCAAGCGTTTACGAAAGGCCCCTGTTATTTGTCCGTTAAGCGGTCGGTTTTCTATACTTGCCGGATTCGATTTAATTACTTTCAAATTTACAATAATGTATGATAATATATTCAGTGAACAGTTTCTTGGTTTAAATTAAAGACTAGTATTGATAAGATGAAGCAAATACAATAGAGGTTTCAAACAAAAATTCTTGAAAAAGCGTACACATCTACTGTAGCGTTATTTCATTTGAAATTACAACCTTCAAACGTACTTCAACGCCAAATAATATTTCGATACATATTTGAATCGGTGCTATTCTTAGGGTTCTATTTTACTTTGTCGTTATTTCACGTTAAAATAATCTTTATAGTAATTTATAGAATATCATATTAATGTGTAAAATGAAAGTGAGGGAGCCAAAATTTTGTTCTTGTTATCCGATATAGGCATTCTGATATTTTTATCGAGATCATGCCATATTATGTAATTAGAATTTTTTGCTATTTTAGTATTTTGGTTCTCAATATCGTACGATGGAGATAATTCATTGCTCGACCTTTAAAGATAAGAGTTCACCCATTTGTGAATTGGTCATAATATGGCTAGTTTTTTATATGGTATCCTACGATGATTTCAACGATTTTTAAATATGTGTGTCGAGGGCATGATTCTGAACAACTTTTTCCTTATATATAATCGACAGACGGCCCTAGTTTCTGAGATATTCGCAAAAAACTATCACCACCACTATAGTGAATTCTGCCTACAATCGTGGGTTCGTAACAGCCGTACGCGTCAGTATTGGTTGCTGGCATCAATCGTTCGGCAGTTGCTTGACCACCGTTAAGATTGCTTACATATGTATCTATCCAAATAAACACTATTATCCGTTTGTATTTTTTATTTTTAAAGTATTGTACTAACCTGAGTTGGTTAGAACTATGGGTAAAAAACAAAAAAAAGTACTGTTCAACACTTTATACCGATTCGAGTTGGATATTGCTTTGAACGGTATTTTTTTGTTAGTAACAAGTATCGCCTACATCGCACAGCGATCATAATACCTACAATATAATCATACCCGTCGATAAACCGTCGTGAGGCGACCGGCAACCAATACTAACGCGTACGCTGTTACGTACACACGCTTATAAGCAGAATTCACTATAGTGTGGTACCGGACAGGTTTTTGCGAATATCTCAGAAACTAGGGCCGTCCGTTGATTATGTGTAAGGAAAAAGTTCTTGAGAATCCTGCCCCCGAGAACATATTTAAAAATCATTGAAATGATCGTAGGTTGCTATATCAAATAAATCTCAGAATTTTGGTACTAAACATCGTACGATGGAAATCATTCATCTCTCGACCTCTAAAGATAAGAGTTCATCCGTTTATGAATGGATCATAATATTTCGAGAAACAATCAAATAATTCATGATGTTATCGGGGATCGTGTGAAATTTGATCTATTTTTAAACTTTATGATTTTTTTTTGTAGTCATCCAACATCATGTTCGTCCATGGCAGAAATTATGTCCGTATTATTTTTCCACACCATGCGCTACAAGGTGTCGGCGCCACGTGATCCAAGTAGCGACAGATTTGTCCTGAGCAAAGGTCACGCAGCCCCTATTCTTTATGCAGGTGAAGAAAGATTTTTTGCACGCACGTGTGTCAAATGATTATATTACGTTATATCGTACGATCACGTGGGTACTCATGGTTATCTACGTTTGCAGCATGGGCTGAGGCCGGTCTTTTCCCGACGAGCGAATTGCTCAATCTGAGAAAACTTGATAGCGATTTAGAAGGACACCCGACTCCAAGACTGAATTTCGTCGATGTGGGAACCGGTTCTCTAGGACAAGGTCTTTCTGTGGCTGCAGGAATGGCCTATGTAGGAAAGAATTTTGACAAGGCTAATTACCGGTATGCTAATCGAGCATTTGCCATTTCCTTACTCTTTTACTCACAAGTGATTTTTATTTGTAAAAAGGTGAAAATAAAAACATCATTATTTTAAAGCGTTTACTGCCTAATTGGCGACGGTGAAGCAGCAGAAGGTTCAATTTGGGAAGCTCTTCACTTCTCGTCTTACTATAAATTGGACAACCTTTGTGCCATTTTTGATATAAATCGTCTGGGTCAAAGTGAAGCAACATCCCTTCAGCACAACATGGAAGTTTATCGTAAGAGACTCGAAGCCTTTGGTTTTAATGCTTTGGTTGTCGATGGCCATGATGTAGAAGAATTGGCCAAGGTATGTTTATTGGCTTCATGAAATATTAAATATGTATTCAGAAAATTCAAGATAGAACTTTATAGGCTTTCCACGAAGCACAAAACACAAAAGGACGTCCTACTGCTATTCTAGCAAAGACATTTAAGGGCAAGCACTTCCCTAATATTGAGGATCTTGAAAACTGGCACGGGAAACCACTTGGCACCAAAGCAAATGAAGTGATTCAAGTAAGAACCGAAGCTTATACATTATTTGAAAACTTATTTACATTTTAAAGTTAACCAAACGTTTAATTACAGCATTTAAATGGTATGCTGAAGAATCCTGGTCCTCTTGCAATACACCCTCAGAAACCATTAACTGACGATGCTCCAGTAGTAAATATCAGCAATGTTAAGCTGGCTTCACCCCCAAGTTACAAATTGGGAGAACAAGTAGCTACAAGATTAGCTTACGGTACTGCCTTGGCCAAGGTTTGTATACATTTTTTAAATGAAAAATTTAAATACCGGCAAGGCGTTCTTCACGTACATTTCACATTGTTTCATGTTTCAGCTGGCAAAAAATAATCCCCGTGTTATTGCTCTGGATGGTGATACGAAAAATTCTACATACGCAGAAAAAATCAAGACCGTTGACCCGACACGATTTGTCGAAGGTTTTATTGCCGAGCAAAACGTTGTAGGAGTTGCGATCGGTGCAGCATGCAGAGATAGAACCATTGCGTTTGTATCTGCTTTTGCTACATTCTTTACTCGTGCCTTTGATCAGGTAATTATTAGAAAATGAACACTCTTCTGAAAGTTGTGCAATTAACTTCAACCGAGATTGTTAAATTTCACAGATCCGTATGGGTGCTATTTCACAAACTAACGTCAACTTCGTTGGATCTCATTGTGGCGTGTCTATCGGTGAAGACGGCCCTTCGCAAATGGGTCTCGAAGATGTAGCCATGTTCCGTACCATTCCTGGTTCCACTGTCTTTTATCCCTGCGATGCCGTTTCAACAGAACGTGCCATTGAATTGGCAGCCAATACGAAGGGCATCTGTTTTGTCCGTACATCACGGCCTGCCACAGCAGTGTTATATAAAAACGAAGAACCATTTGTTGTTGGCAAGGGTAAAGTTGTCAAGTCCTCTGCTAAAGATCAAGTCCTCGTCATCGGAGCTGGCGTGACTGTACACGAAGCGCTGAAAGCAGCCGACGAATTGTCCAAAGTTGGAGTAAACGTACGTGTGATTGATCCGTTTACGATTAAACCGCTGGATGCTCAATTGATCGTGAAGAATGCAAAAGAAGTGGGCGGAAAGATCATTACCGTTGAAGATCATTACCCAGAAGGTGGTCTGGGCGATGCTGTTCTATCAGCAGTTGCTTTGGAACGAAACATCATAGTTAAAAAGCTGGCAGTAATGGAAGTGCCCCGTTCTGGTCCTCCAACCGCATTGTTGGAAAAATATGGAATTAGCGCGAACAAGATCGTCGCTGCCGTTCAAGAAGTCTTAAAATTATAAGTTTCATTGGTTTATATAATGTTGTCGATGTTTTCGATTCGCGGAAATAAATACGCTGAGCCTAATGTCATATCAAAATTTATAAAAAGGTAATTGTATTCAGACAGCTGCAACGAAAACTAATCCATTCCGTATCGTTTTCGCATACAATATACGCATAGAAATCGAGAATTTGGTTTATGTTAATATATTACGGAAGAGAAATGCTCGTGTATGAAAAGATTTTTCTTCGTGCGTATACACGTATATTTTGTACAGGAAATTGTTAAACTTGAATCTACATAGAATTTTTATATATTGAAATTTTATTTTATACGAAAATTTGATACACATAATATTTATAGATTAAGAGAACTCTACTGCCCACGAAAGGAGTATATAACGGTCATTTTCAACCGTGTCTGTCGTATTATAAACAAATAGATACACTTGCGCTAAAACGAATTTCGAAGCAACTTTATCGTAACCTACCTCAAACATACATTATAAACCTTGTGAATTGTGGTAACGAATTACTATAAATAAAGCTTTTAAGAAAACAACGTCCTTACAGTCTTTATGAAATTCAAAGTTGTTCGAACATACAGAAACAAATCGAAAAATCGCGCGTTAAATATGTTTGCTGGAGGGGCGGGGGGGGGGCGTTTGAACATACTCTGATTATGAAAGGAGAATAACCAACGAAATCCCTAGTTCTCCAAACGAGTTACATTCAGAATCGTGTCGCGATTGGCTGGGTACGCTCGCGAAGCTACATGCAGAGAGGAACTGAAGAGAAAGATAGAGAACCAGAGGAGACAGCAGCGCCACATTTCGCCGTTGAACAACGAACGTCAACCGTTCCTCGTTCTTCGGTCCGTTCGTTCGGTTAGCTGTTCGCCATCCAAAATATCCAGGCTGGCACGATTCAGTTGCATATGTGTATGTGCACGTACAAGTGTCTCCCTCGGCTCCGGTGGGTGTGTAGGTGTACGTGCGACGGCCATATTGCGTGTACGTAGCACGAGCGAGTGGCACGTGTATGCATGTGTACGGGTAGAAAGGACACGCGTGTGCGTTTCCCGTTCCGCGATTCGCGTTCGCGTATCCCGAAAAAGATGGCCGCCATGAAAGCGTACGGTGGTGATGTTGACGTCGTTCGCAGCAAGGCCGCGTCACGTCCTCGAGAAGCGTGAAAAGAACGCGATCGTTCGAATGCTTCCGCGACCCTCGTGGCGGGCTTCAACGAGAAAACGATACGGCGAGCAAGTTGTCGGTGTTTCGAGAACGCGATTACGGTGTTCAGTGGATCCCTCCTCTCACGGTATTCCGAGGAAAACGACGAGGAACGGGAGACAGAAGAAAGAAACAAGGGAGAACGTGCCCAACGAAGGGTTGAACGGGATAGCGCGCGATTGAGAAAGGAACGGACAGGACGAACGAGGGTAGGCGATACGGAAAGAGGCGAAAAGCTGGCGATCGCGTGGAAAATACAACAGGGTGATACGGAAGTGAGTAGCTGCACGTAGAATCGCGGGTGGTGTGTGGTGGTGTCGCGAGTGAAACAAATGCGTGCGCGTCGTACGCGAACCAGCCTCTCGCTTGCCGACGATATCCTGGTCAACCTGTTTTTCGCGTTTCCACGGCGTTGTGCTTCACGCGTGACTCGAAACTCTGTGTCAACGAGGGACGGCCATATTAATCCGTAGCCCCCGCCGTCACACTTATTCAGAAGAATCTTCGCCTCCTCGACGAGGTGGTGTCTCCGCAATATTACGATCATCGACACGTAGATTTCTGCGTACCCCGTTGTGCGTTACCGTGCCCGTGACGTGCTGTGTCGTGCCTTGCCATCTCGTACCGTACCGTGCCGTGTCGTGTCGTGTGATTCCCGACTACTTGGATATACGCGCTACGTAGCCTCCAGGTCTCGCCGGATGACGGTGCGTGTACGTGGTGCGTGGACGGCGGTACTAGTGTGTACGAGCAACATAAGCAACGGCCACTACGCGAGTTCTGTGCCGCCCGATGTTCGTGCATCCCGTCGAAACATCTTACCGGTCCTCCACCACCGTGTCTACCCACTCTATCGGCAGTGTCACCCTTCCTAGATCCTCTACTACCTGCAGAGTGAGTACATCCAATGTATGCTTTCCTATCTTTCACCAGAATCTATCTTCTATAGGCCTTTACCTCGAACAATGTGTACTCAAAATGTTTTCTTCGCTGTTTTGTACAAACTACACTTTTATCGTACCAGGAAAATGTCTCGACACAAGCTGAATTAGTTTGGCTTGTAACTCTTGGTGCGTTCAGTATTTTCAGTGTTAGTTGTATGTGCTTTAAATATATTTGCATTGTATTTACATTGGGTACATCATTTTGAAGTTTACATTTTGAGTATTTTATGAAACTACATTCCTATTTTTTGACAAGCATTGGTCATTTGTCAGACATGTACTAAAGCATACCGGTAGAGTTGGTATGTGACTTGACTACAAACTATATTTATCTCCTGGAAATGAAACAGTAATGTTCCTACTAATTGCTGGAGTAATGAGATTTAATGTTTCATTTTGAAACTATTAAAACAGATCAGGTTTATGTTTTGATGAACTTTGTCAGCTATTGTACCATCGACAGACTCATTAGAATTGTACTACTACAAAGGAAATATGATTCATCCATGATGCATGCTATAGTTTCTCTATCTGTAAAGCTTAGTTCAAATTTTCTATCATAACTAAGAAGCAAACAACAACATAACCTCAATTTGAAGTAACGATAAAGGCAAGACGCATACAACTTAAGCGAATCAGTACAACTTGACAAATGTTTAGTTTAAGAGTATGTCTAATCACGATAACCTTGCTGATAAGTTACAGTAATAATACATTTCCCTATTTTAACACCTCTGACCACTTATCTATTAGGAGTAACAATACTACCCACGCTTATTACTTGGCTGTACTAGCAATTAGCATATAAAATACAAATATTTATCTCTGTTCGAGTCCAGCACGGTAGTTTTCTGCAGTAATTGCCACGACTAAGTGAAAAAACGTACATATTTATGAAAGATTGATAGCAGTGCAGTGGGTGTTTGAAGCTTCAGAGAAACCCGTTTGTTTCTGTCAAAATAATTACCGCGGAACCGCGTAGACGTGCTCGTTATAGTAACACAAAGAAATGAAATTGAAATTCCGAAGAAATTGCAAATTACTTTTCCGTCGGTTGACGTTACGAGTCGCGGTGGAAAGAGCGGCGAGGGGGGGGGGGGGGGGGGGGGGGCACGTCGAGGTAGAACCACAAGCGTAGGGACGATATCAATTGATCGCATTTGTCATGCGAGTCATTTTTCGGGTGAAAAGACGGTTTCGCTGGATAAGGGGTGGGCGATTAATCATTTCCCTTGTAGCCGGCTCGGCCTATTTAATAGCGTGTTCCAGTGGCCTGTCGCTCGCTGGGGCTTTTTATACCGGTTTCAAAGGCGGTCGAGTGTACCTCTTGGTATTTCATAGCAGTGGTGCCCGTTACGAGATGCTACCCTGAGAGATTTTTGCCACTATTACCAACGGCTGCCTGTCGAACTCTTCTCTATCCCCCACCCCCTCCCTTCCCCCCACATCCACTCCGCGCGAAACGCGTACGCGTGCACGAAGTTTGAATTTTTTTGCTAGCCGTGGCTGTTTTCCCACCTCCTTCCAACCCGGCTCTTAATAATTCTCGGTTCTGCTTATCGCTGGCCCGCGGTTTCCGCGCGAGATCTCTGACTCGCACGCTCGCAAGATTACGCCTCGATCGTGAACCAGAGGAAGTATGTATTTCGAGGGGAAACGCAACCCGGTTGTACATACGGAAATACACTTTCGGCGGACGAAATATGGAGGAACGATTGGCGTGGTCTTTAACACTAGAACTACCGACGAAAAACGTAGGGGAGACCGGGGCAGATTGTAACAAAAAAAGTTTTCACAATTTTTTCTCAAAAGTGTTTTCCTCGAACAGGAAATAATTTGCGTGACTTGCTGCTCACATTTTTGGTCAACTCGTTGAGTGTAAATATGTGACAAAATCTTTGATGCTTAGACATCTATGTTCATCTTATACAAATCTGAACTTTTGTTACAATGTGCCCCAGCCCGGGGTAAATTGTAACACGTCCGTTTCATTTAGTTAAACACAAATAGGAATACAAATAAACATTTTCACAAAATATAAATGAAAATGCATATCATTATTAAGCATTTGATATACATGGATTGAACAATCATTCGTTATTCACTGACAGATACAAGGAATATTTTTGTCAGTGCAGTTTTCATATCTTCTTTAGAAGTAGAACCTTTTCTTGTGAATTCATTAAATTACTGAAATGCGTACATATTATAATAAACCAATGTGTAATGATTCGTTTGCGACAAAGAAGCAAAAATTCAAACGGTTTCTGATGGTGGTTAATTGAAATAAAAGTGCTAGGACAATATTTACTTAAGTGCTCCGAATAATCAAAATCTAACCTGTAGCGGCAAAACAGACACTTGATGATCGATTGTTGCAATGAAACCGAAGATATCAATATTTTTAAACCGCTCTGGCAACCTGCTGTCGTTCAGAAAATGTTAACTATATTACAACTTACCCCGTGTTACAACCTGCCCCGGTCTCCCCTATGTCTATTTCTACCAGGTCGATAAACATCACAAACTTCTGAAAATATTTAAATTTATAAATTGACTAATTTCTTCATTTTTATATTACAATGAATGTTGGGAAAAATCAGAGAAAAGTGTTGTAAAATTTTAATTGTCAATATAAGAATGTACTAACCAGTCATTTGGACTGCTTTGGTTGTTTTCTAGTGTGAAGCTCCGCGTAACACAGTTACCGAGACGTAACGTCTGGTGCGAAGAGGTGTGAGGGGGGAGTTCGCCCTCGCCCAAAGGTATTGGGTTCGCCCAGCATAGTATAGACTTCGGAAAAATCGAAAGCATTTCTAATTTATCATCGAAGTAATTGGTAAAAGGTAATCGTAGTAATTTCCTCTGGAATCGAGCAATTACGTTTTCTCGATCCAGGATCGGGGGGGGGGGGCTTGCTTTCTTACTCGCGACTGGGTTAAGCGAACGGATAACCGAATTAATTTTTTAAACGAAAACCTTTTTCTTGGTACTGAAGAATCTTCGAGGCGGAAGCTCGTGATCGGTTCATCGTCCATTACCCGCATGCTTTTTTCCCAGCGTTTATCGATTTAATAATTGTGCATCCAAAAAGTGCGTTTATAAGGTCGCCATACAAAATTCTGGAGAACAGTTTCAGTTGGGAGGCATGTCTAACTAGGGATCTTCGGTACTATGAGAATTCTGATTTTTTTCTTAAACTCTGCAAATTTATGAGAGATCTGGCATTCGGTTCTGAAGGGTGAAAGCACCCCTTTAAAGGTTAATGTGTTTTGCTATTT